GGAATAACAAGGGTGGTAATGCACCAATTAGGCTTTTACCTAACTCCTAATCACTTAATGCAGTAACGGAAAGCAAAAGCGAAATTAATTTGTAAAACACAAGGTAGGGTTGTATGCATCCGGGCTTGCCTGCGTTGACGGAAAAAGTCCGGCTCTTGCGACGCTTCACAAGAATTCGGTCCGACCTCAACAGACGGATTAACCTCCTCAACAACTTGATTAACTACCACGTGTTCACCTTCGTTCACTACACGTAATAACAATGCCATGTTTAACATGATGCGGAATACGAAAATATGATGCTCGATGATGGATACAAAATCAACAATTTGAATACAACTTTCCTTCATGACAGCATTTGCAAGTCAAACAAACTAAATCTTTTTCATAACACATACATCAACTGCCAAGGATCATTAACAACAAATGACCCAAGGTCATCACTCAATCCAAAATTACAAACAAAACCTAAATCACTAAAGGTTACTATTTGCTTTTATGAATTAATTATTTAATTCAAAATTATGAAATAAATCAACTTATTCCAATTGAGCTAGAAATTTTGTAAACATTCATTACATGATAACTAAGTGGCAAAACAAATTTCATAATTTTTGGACAAGTAAATAAGCCTAGAAAATTCATGGAAATCCATTTATTAATAAATTGAGCAATTTTATCACATTCAAAAAGTACTGAAAAACATTATTTCATATTTTTCTTAAATACTTTACATCACAGAGAAGTCACACAAAAAATTTTCATAATTTTGGAGCTCTAAATAAATCTACACAAAAATAACAAAAACAGACACTATTCATTCAAATCAAAATAGAAAAAAAAAAATCATTTGAACGCCGAAGTCATCGACATGGTGACCCCACCTGTCATCCCCTTCCTCCCGCTTTGACTACGGCGATGATGGCGCGCGACCGGCGATATCTCGACGACGGCGAGATCAACGGCGGCGACGGCCAAGGCACTATCATGATCACTACATCACGGCCAAGACCGATTTGTGGCACAAACGCGACCAATTCTTGCTGGACGAAAGCACACTACGCCCCATGCCATGGCGGTTCTGGTGGCACGACGACACAACGCCGGGCGAAACAAAGCCGAAAAACAGAGAAACAGAGGGCATGGAAAGGTCCAGTAGCTCACCACGAACACGCTGGAGCAAAGAATGAGACCGGATAAGCTACGAGGACACAGGTCGACGTTGACAGCGGTCACGGCGGAGCGATCTTCGACGACGGCGATGCTCCGGTAGCTATGGTGGTCAAAATGAGAAACCAATAGGTCACAAAGCACTACATCAATGCGGGCGAAGCCGGGCAAGACTCAAAGAAGGGTAGAGACTCACCAGTGGCCGCGCCACGGCAACGCGGGCTCGACGGCGGGACGACCGGCCGTGGAGAAGAAATACGACGAGTGGCGGTTCCCGGTGAAATTAAGCCATATTGATGGGTTGGCTAAGTGCGCAAGGATAAGGCGAAGCTAAAGGATGCTTTGCTGCAACGGCAGAGGCACTGGTTCGACGACGAGAGCTCAACGGAGATGATCGGCAACGTCGGGAAAAACAGAGGGCGAAGGAAGAACGACGACGACGGCATCGGAGCTTTATAGGGCGGCCAAGGAAGCAAGGAGAAGCCACGGCGACGCTTTTCCCAGCGCCAAATATGAAGCCAAGACCGCCACGCCAAGCTACTGGAACGCCAAGAAGAAGTCACCGCCATGTAGCTTCGGCGGTGAACACTGTTCACAAAATTTACAAGTTTGCCATTCGCCAAAATTCACAAATTACTCTCAAATTTTCATAACAACTCCAAAATCTCGAAAAATAAAAGTTGTTCAAAATCAAAAGTTCTACAACTTTGCTTTTATAACCATCTCCTAATTCGGTCTAGATTTTGAAATGAACTTTTGAATTTGAATAGGGAAATTTAACGAATTACGCTTTTTTGAATTACTCAAAATTTTTCTAAACAACTTGAAAAACTCCAAAAACAAACTTTGTATAACTGGCCAAGCTCTACACTTTTTCTTTTGGGATCAACCCCAAATTATGCTTAGATTTTGAAATGGGTTTTCAGGGTAGGATTAAAATGCTGAAAAGCGGGGTTTTCTCGAAAAATTCAAAATCCAAACAAACTTTGAACTAGAGTCAACCAATACAATTCAACACATACCACATGAATATAAACTTGTTTTAGTGTATGCATCTCAAAGTTTTCACCAAATGCCAAATAATTTGCAATGCATATGATGACATGTCAGGTTTTAGTATTTTAAACACCCGAGGTGTTACAACACTCTCTTCTCATTGCCTATAATCTGTCCGTCTAGTACTTCATCTGTTCCAAATTATAAGACGTTTTGGCATTTTTGGATCCATAGTTTTTACTATGTATATCGCGACATAATATACATCTAGGTGCGTAGCAAAAACTATGAATCTAGAAATACCAAAACGTCTTATAATTTGGGACGGATCGAGTAGATCACTAGTAGAGGTTGGCTGTCTGAGGCCTTTGCACGATGGGCTTCTTTTCCAGTTCTGTTGGGCCGGACAGGGTACTAGGATATCAGGATGGCCCATTACAATTAATCGGCCCAAATTCTAACTGGTCCCCGGAATGGTCTCTTTGGGCTATAACTATACCCACACACATGTACCATGTCGCCGTTTTGTTCAGAGCCTTCTGTATTTTTTTTTCTGTAGAAGGAAAACCGAATGGACATTTTCTGCTAGTAGTAGTATATGATGATGAACATATATAAATAATTGGTGCGAAATGATCATGCGAGATTTGCAAAGACTTGGCAGCTGCTGCACATATCTTGCATGATATGATAGACGGTGATGGAATGCATCCGTACCTTACAACACACTCAAGCATGGTGCCATTTGCTTACAAGCCATCCTCAGATCGAATGGCAGCATCTCCCTTGGCACCGCGCGTCTCCATGCGCAACCGGCCGAAAGCAAGCATGGCCGGCCGTCGCCGTCCTCTTCGTTCCTCAAGCCAAAGGCCAGGCCACCTGTGTGCTTCACTCAAAAGCATTGCAGGGAACTGGAGCACACGATTATGCGTGTGTCGATCATTGTGGTGATCCAAATGCGACTGCGAGGAAATTCCAAACACAGAACATCTGTTTCATTGAGGATCAAGGGAACTAGTTAGCAGTGCTGTAAACCATGATGAGGTCCAAAAGGCAGATGGAGACTAGCTACTAGGTGTCAGTGTCTCGTTCATATAGACAGGAGGCAGACAGCTACAGGGGCTTCTTTGGGTGCCAAGGAACGCATTGTTTAGAAGCGATGCAAACCCAGCCGAAACCGTAGCAGAGGAGCCAAGTCACTTGCAACTCAAACCTTCACGCTCTTCCCTCCAAAAAGCCATTGGATATATAAATATGTGCTACATGATCACCACCACAGCTCACTAACCTTCACGCTCTTCCCTCCAAAAAGCCATTGGATATATAAATATGTGCTACATGATCACCACCTACAGCAGCACAGCTGCGCCCAGCTCCCAGCTCTCCTCTGATCAAGTAGCAATGGCGTTCAACCCTAGCCCTCCAGTACTGGGCTTCCCCTACTTCCCTCCAAACCCTTACCTTCCAAGACCACCGCCGCAACCACGGCCACAAGCCCCGCCGCCGCCACAGCGGTTCCCACCACCGATCCGAGCCCCACCACCGCCACAGCGTGCCCCGCCGCCTCCTCAGCCTCCACCGCCACGACGCGCTCCGCCACCGCCCACCCTACCACCACCACCTCCTCGTCGCGCTCCCCCACCACCGGCTCTGCCACCCCCGCCACCACGCCGTGCTCCGCCACCGCCCACAATGCCGCCACCGCCACCACGCCGTGCTCCTCCGCCTCCCACTCAGCCCCCGCCGCCACCTCACCATGCTCCCCCACCACCGTCCCCGCCTATTCGCCCACCGCCACCACCAACTCCTCGGCCTCAAGTGCCACCACCGCCTCACCCGCTCGCACCGCCCCCGCCACATATCCATCCTCCGCCGGCGCCTGTGCCGCCTCCGCCTAGCCCTCCGCACCACATTGTCATCATCGTGGTGTTCGTCTCACTGAGCGGCCTGCTGCTGCTGGCATGCCTCGCCGCGCTCCTCTGCTGGCACAAGAAGAGGGGGAGGAAGACGGAGACCAAGGCTGAGGTGCTCAACTTCAGCGACCATGTCCATGTCCACAAGGATACCATGCCAGGTCCTGGGGGTGCCAACGTCGTCAGGCTGACAGTAGACGAGGACGTCAAGTTCCAAGAGGCGGTCAAGAAGCAGGACGCCATTGGCGAGTCCTCAAACACCGCAGCAGCTGGGAAGACAACAGCGCATCACCACCTCCCTTGGACCTGGCACAAGAAACATGAGAGCAGAAAAGAGAAGACAGAGGTCATCAACGTCACAAAGCACAAGCATGTCGACGAGGTCATACCTGGGCCGCATGGCGAAAAGATTGAGGTCCTTTCAGAAGATGAAGATATCAGATTTGAAGAGGCCGGCGAGAACGAAGATGAGTTTGAGAAATCCAAGGCACGCATAACCAAGTCCTAAGATGATATGATGCCATATCCATATAGTATCTGCCTACACTGAAGGCCCTTCAACTTGGGGCAATTACCATACCCATACACAAATACACATACTACCCTTGCATGCATTTGAGTATTTTTATAAGATTCTATGTTCTTTCATGTGAATGAAATAAGGGCGTACAGACCCATCTGATTGGATTCAATGTGTAATTATATGCCAGCATTTGTATATGAGCAGTTTGTGTGAAACAATTTCCTCAGTAGTTTCACTTAACCCCACTGTGTAAGATGACGGTTAGTGGCTGCATGTTGCATCATAACAAAGTGTGATCATACACATAGCCTTTCTGTTCACATTCTCCCCAATTGTGTCGAGCAAGAAGAGAATCTATGGGACTAGGGCAGAAGCTGAACAAGGCGGCACAAACAACTTTACAGGGTAGCCTAAACATAATATCCAGTACTTGTCATCACTACATAACACATCATAATCCTAACTGCTTCTGCTACTTAGTTGATTGCGATAGGAGTAATTACGCCTCTTAGCAGGCTTACTCGATCGTTGTTCTTGGTCGGTACTGGTGGTGGTGTCACTTCAACAGCCATGGGAATGGTTGCCTCCTGGACTTTGTTATCATCGACATCTACTTCCATACTGTCTACTATTACCGGCTTCTTGTTTTCACAGGCCACATTTCCTTCAGCAAGCTCCCCTGTTCCTGAAATTTCAAGAGTTGGTTCTTGTTAGTGCCTTCAAGAAAATACATGGGAGTAGGGATGGCAAATAATATGGTCTGACATGGGCATGCATAGATAGTCGGTAAGAACGATTTCTTCCACATGATTGGAGCAAGGGCATCAGAGAGCCATTTGATTGGAAGGACTGTGTTACCGTATTGTAGATCAAATTTTAAGTGAGCAATTTATGTGAAAAAATTCAGACGAAATTTATCAAGATGTCTGTCAGTGAGGCCCTTTAGTAGTTGCCATGTTACTTATAACATTTGTTTTTGAATGAACGGACACATAAAAAGGGCGTACCCAGTGCAGAGAGCTCCCGCTCTGTGCGGGGTCTGAGGAAGGGTGTCAGTGGCAAGCCTTACCCTCGCCTGTGCAATGCGAGGAGACCGCGACTCGAACCCGGGACCTTCCGGTCACAGACGGTAAGACTCTACCGCTTGCACCAGGCACTGTCATGAACGGACACATGACAGTGCTTATTTCATTGATGATCATTAACACAGCAGTCCATATTAATGCTCCCATGTGTCATGAGTACAATCCGAATCTTTAGGTGTAGATCAGAAGGAGAATATAGGTAGACTGGATCTCTTTAAAGATCACCTATAAAAGTGAGATGCAATACTTGCGATAACAATATAAGATCTAACTGCTTCAGCTACCTACTTTACTGCAAATGCAGCAATTCATTTCTTATATTAGACTTACTCGTGATGTTCTCCGTTGGCAGCAGTGGTGCTCTGACTCCTACAGCCACAGGGCTGGCTTCCATCTTAAGCTTGCTGGCACTAATATCAACCTTCATGCAATCTGCGGATACAGGCTTCTTGGTCTCAGGTGTCAAATTCCCTTTAGCAATTTCCTTTGATCCTAGAGATTTATCCAAAATTGGGCCGTGTTAGAAGAGTGTCTTCCAGAAAATCACATCAGAAAGGGGGAAAAGGGACAATACAGTGTAAGGTTTGACATGCAGAACTACCAAACATATGCATCGCATCTTTAAAGATCATCCTACATACCAACAGATCACTTGTGAATCATTTTTATTAGTTTCATTACAGAATGTATGAGGTTTGATACAGAGAACTACAAAATGCAATGGATCTGCGGAGATGATCTTACATATCAATACATCACTTGCGTATTGTTCTTATTAGCTTCATGGAACCTAGAGATTTATAGACGAATGAAGCTCTATTGATCTCAGACAATTACATAAAGGTGATACATGTAACCTAGAGGTATGTCAGGTACGTCTGAAAGCAAGAAATGCAGGGTATTCCATCACATGCAGGGTATGACATTCCTCAAAAAAACATGCAGGGTATGGCTATGTGCCACAAGTCAACGAAAAACTGGAAAACAAAATATGCCATTTTCCTTTAAGAACAAAACAGGTTCAAGTGGTAAGATGAATATGATTTAGATGGCAAATGATATGGAGCCTTTCGGCAGGAGATGGTTAACAAGGATAATTCGAAAATCAGTATGTAAAATCTGTTCCAAACAAGTTTAGTACTCCCCCCGTTCCAAATTATAAACTGTTTTTGCTTTTCAAAGTACATAGCTTTTGCTATGCGCCTAGATATACGCTATGTCTAGATACATAGCAAAAGCTTGTATCTAGAAAAACCAAAATGACTTATAATTTGGAACGGAGGTAGTATCATTCTAGTCGCCCATTGCTAATTTTTATATTAATTACAGTTGGTCATTGTGATTGTCATACGATCCAGTATTGAATCCTAAAACTTCTGAGAAAATAACCATGATGTACACTGATGATGAATGGAATGTTCCAAGCAGGAATACAATTTTCAACATGCAAGTACGCAACAACCCACGAAGAAAATAAATAATGGTATGGAAAGATGAACGAATGGAGAGATACCAGGAGGATGTGAGGCTCTCCCAGTTCCTCATTCTCAAACTCTATTATAGTACAGTAGCCATCTCGTGATGACACTGCCAAGTACTTAGCATCAGAAGACCTGACACAAATAGATTGCAAAGATGAATTACTAGCACCAGTAGATATGCAAAGCTCGACTGGGAAGACTACAAAAGCAAAACTGTATAAGTACCCACCATGCAATATCGGTAATGGCAGCATAGTGTAGACCAGCATGGACTAGAATTGGAGGAACACTTTCTGTATCATAGACATACAGAGAGTTCAAAGTAGCAACAGCAAAAACAACTCTATAAGGAAGCTTGAAGAGACCATCTGCAAAATTTAAATGTGATTCAGATTCATTGTAAAAAGATAAGTAGAACTTTTGAGCAAAGCAAAGTTGCCATAAATTGAGCTACCTGGGTTAGAACCACGTGGTTTGAATAGCACAGGGCAGAAGCGTACTGCTACTATAGCTTTACTGGCCCCAGGGAGTTGTATTGCAGGCCTGCAGTGCCAAATACAGTCAGTAACCTAAAAGAGCAATGAAACTACATGTACAGTCAAAGTTATATGCTAGAGTATGTGCTTCGGTCCCAAAACACGGAATACATCATGATAACCTTATCTAAAACGCCAAATGTCTGTAATCTGTAACATTCATCAGAAATTTAGCACATACACAATAGAAAGTAAGATTCAGCACCCTGTGGCAACTAAGCAATCAAATGTGATTACCTTCTAAAATTTAGGACTTCAAAGTTTTCACTTATAACTTATTTTAAGGTGCAGTAAATTAACCTTACATTGAAAAAAGAAATGTAGCAGAAACGATTCTCTGATGGTCCAAGTACCATATTATCTTATTTTAAGTATCAGTTGAAATGTTGAGTTTGACCAGATTAGTCCCTTTGTTTATATGTCAAGAACTGGAAAACACAGGGTTACTTCAAGTAATAGATCTGCTACCTTGAGAGGTCACGCCTGGACATTATATAAGCGGTATTAATCACTTCGGAAGAGTGTTTAGAAAGGCCTGATAAAGATAGAAAAAAAAATTAGGGGGTTATGATGATAGAGAATTTGCTGAAAACAGACTAAATAACATGCAACCAGTGAACACAGTTTCAAGCTTAAGAAACGTGAGCTGAACTATCACTAACACTAATGCAAAAACAATATATACCTGCTGGCAATACTAGAAAAGATCCATCAGGTGACCATGCCAACCTCCGGAAGAAAGATGGTAGTGTCTCATCGTGAAACAAATGAGATTTAATCGGTGGCTGCAAGACAAAGGATCATATTCCTGCTCAGTTAAAACACAGTTTGCATTCAAATGCTGTAGCAATGAGGGCAGAGATAAACCCACCTTAGATTCATCATGATTCTGATATTCTACCTTCACTAGTGTATGCTGGCAAACAAAGTTCATCCTCTCTGCGTTCTTGGATTTGCCCTGAGGCTTATTTGCATATATTTTACAGGTTCTGTCAGAACTCAGTGAAGCAATATACTGGCCCAAAGGATCCCACGCCACACCCTGAACATAATGCAGATGTCCCTCCAACTTTTGGTGCACCGTGCCTGAGAAAATCATCAGATATCAATAACACAAGATAGGACAGAACTCATGCTGCTGCAAATAACATATTCCGTACTGTAGCGGGAGTCACCTTTACTAGCTTCCCAAATTATGCAAGTGTTGTCAACTGATGCAGAAACAAGGAATGTGCTGTCATGCGACCACTGGAGGTCAAGAACATCCTTGTGATGGAATCTGTGAATGAAATGAAACAAATTAGACCGTTACCATTTAGCAGGCTTCCAAAGAAGCAGGCCGGTTTGCGGAAAAAGAAGTTTCCGTTTCAGTAAGCAGAACTCACAGTAACGTCTTGTGAATTTTCCATGCCTCACCGTCGTCAGCGGAATGCAGTTTCCAGAGGATGATGCCGCCACCTGTACATCATGAAACACAACAATTCATCGCACGTGGACACACGAAACCATCTGATAATTGAGCGATAAATAAAGATAGCTTCACATTATGAATTCAATTGTTCCGGTGCAATGAATATTGGCTAAATCAATTCCATTTTATTATGATTAACAAAACTAATTCCATTTTAGATGATTAGCAAAAACAATTTTAGGACGGTAGGCAAAACCAATTATGACTTGACATATAATCCTAGATAGATGCCAAATTGAGCGTACCGTCAGCACCAGAGGCGAGATACTCCCCTGCAGGAAACCAAGGCGGGAAAGAGTCAGTTACAAAAAACTGGAAGAGACTTTATATATCTCTGTATGTATGGGCTCCAAGGGGCAGAACAGGAAATCAGAAATGAGTGTACCTGAAGGGGAGAAGCGGAGCACGTTGACCGCGGAGCTGTGGGCGGTGTTATTGGGGACGAGGGCGCTCTTGAAGGTGGCAGTGGGGAGCTTGTCGTCGGAGCCATCCGACGCTATCACCCAGATCTGCAATCCCGAACCGGTCACGGAACGACGCCGCCGAAATGGGAGGGGCAAATCTCGGATCAGCAAGAGCAAGGCAATGGCGGTGGAGGAGAGGAGAGGAGGCGGGGCAACCAACCTTGACGTCGTGGTCGGCGCCGGCGGTGGCGAGGCGGCGGGAGGCGGGTGGAAGTCGAGGCTGAGCACCGGCTGCTGGTCGTGCCAGTTGATCTGCAGCGTCCCGCCTCGCATCTTGTGAAGTGCTGGATGGGCTCCGCCAATCGGGCTTTCCTCCTCGACGGATTGCCTTCACCTCGCCTCCAATCTCTCTCACTCTCTAGGGTTTGGATTGGATTTGGGGAGAGGGAAAACCAGCGGCGGGAAAAGGGAGTGGATTGCGCGCGCACCATCCACTCTGTTGCGCGCGCTCTTCTTCTAGCACTGCCAGCGAGATCTGGGCCGAATTTTGAGTAGGCTAAATTGCGGCCCATTTACTGCATGTGCGTGGGTTGGGCGGGCAGTGGAGTGGACTTCCGCTAGACTGGACTCGATTCGTGGGCTGGCTCAATACTGTTCAAGCCAGCTCCCTAGGATTTTTTATTATTTTTTATCATTTTTATTTAATATTTTAATAATCATTGTGTTCGGCTGGTACAGTGCACAGTGAATTTCGGATGGTTTTGGATGATTTAATAGTGTTCTATGAGAGAGAACAAGCTGAAACAAGCTAAAAGTGTACCAGCCGAACACAGTGAATAACCGCTCCTAAACAAATTTACAGATCTGACCTTTAGGTCGCGCCAGTCTGCCCGACGACGTGACAAAATAATGTTTGTGCGGCAAGATTTGCCACATTAGACAACACTTTGTTGGCGTGATAGTATTTTTTTTTGTCGCGCCACCGGAAGTGGCATGACAAAACTCAACCTTAAAAAAATGGTAACTTTTCGATACGACATCGAACGAAGATGGTCTTTATATAAAAATTGTAAAGCTCGATGAAATCTATAACTTTGTAGTTCTGGGTTTTTCATCTGAGGACGCTAAAATGCTCAAAAAATAAATATAAAAACTTCAACAGCATAATAATCACGTATCATGCTTGTCGCAATAGAAAAATAATATATGTTTTATATGGTGTCAAATGAAGATACTTTATATATAAAAGTTATAGCCCTCAATGAGATCTAAAATTTTATAGTTTTGAGTTTTTACATTTGAAGCTGTTAAGATGCTCAATAAAATAATATAAAGTTTAAGCAGCATATTAATTGTGAACCAGGACTTGTCACCTCACGAAAATTATATTTTTCTTAAAAGGTGTCAAATAAAGATACTTTTTATATCAATTTTTTAGCTATAGATAAGATCTACAAGGATTTAGTTTTAAAGTTTTTCATTTGAGATTGTTAAGATACTCAAGGGTATTCTATCCTAGGGTGTGTTTTTTTGCTTTAATATGGTTGTAGTATGGTTGGGGCAGCTTTCCCAACATATTGTTTGTGTATGTGCCCATCCTTGTACACGTATCTTTACGTTTTCCTTACATCTTAATTTATGTGTGTATTATCAAAAAATATTAAAACATTATAAGATATCATGTTAGGCTGAAGTGACGGGTCATGAGAGGGTTAAGTTCGTTAAGGGCATAGCGAGCTAGAACCGAACCACCAGCAATTTACAAAGATCTTCTTTTCATTACTCTTGATTACCTGGTTCAGCTCTCATGAAATTGCTAGTCTAGATTTAGGGCCTGTTTGGTGCGGCTCCCGCACTGCTCTGGCTCCGGCGCCGGCAGTGGAGCCGCACCAAACGATGCAGGTTGTAGGAGCGCTTCCAGCGTGGAATGAGTGAGGAGGAGCCGTTTTCTCGTACGGCAGGCGAAGCCACGATTTCGGGCTTCGGCAAAAAAAGCTCCAGCTCCGGCACGGGAGCACGCGGAGGGGAGCCGCACCAAACAGGCCCTTAGAATAGCGCGCATCTATGGATGATGCAAGCTATACGTACCGTTACAATGCAAAAGCATGTCTGCTAGTTACTTTAATAAATTTATAAAGAGGCTTAAGAAGGTCTCTAGATTTCCAATAGTGGTAGGGATGACTTGCCCCGAAGGATGATGCTCCGGTGCTCTCTCATCCATCCATCCTACTTTGTGAGGAATACAGGCCGAAGAACCTGAATCTCCTTAACAGTTGAGTTCACTGTCACTACGTAAAAAAACGATTTTTAGCAACGGTTTCAATTTTTTGTAGGGACGGCTGGTGATGGAGCCGCCCTTACAGTGACGTGCTTGGGTGCCCAGACTTCAGCCGCCCCTACAAATGGAACAGCAGGGGCGGCTGGTGTTATGAGCCGCCCCTACAAATGGGGTCTGATTTGTAGGGGCGGCTCAATCACCAGTCGCCCCTGGAGTTGCTATTTGTAGGAACGGCTAGTGATTGAGCCGCCCCTACAAATGGCCTCGTATAAATGGCTCCGATTTGTAGGGGCGGCTCAATCACCAATCGCCCCTACAAATGATCCCCCTATAAATGGCACCGATTTGTAGGGACGGCTCAATCACCAGCCGTCCCTATAAATACCCTACATATATAACAACAGCAGCACATTCTTCCTCCTCGAGTCACTTACTCTAACTCGTGAAAGAAAGGTGGCGAGGCCTTGGGCACCTTCAAAAAATTGCTCTACTAAAGGGGGAAGGTTTTGGTCTCAAATTCTTTGGTGGAGAGGTTGTAGAAGGTAAGAAAATGCTATGCCACACTTTTTTTAAGTTTTAATGGTTGGTTAGTTAGTAATTAGAGTTTTGTTTTTCTCTCTCTTCTATGGTGCTTGAGCTACTTATGAAGCAAATTAGACCCAAGTTTTAAATGTACTAGGGTAAATTGGGGAGGGGAACAAAATCATACCCTTATTTGATCCATGTTTTTTGATTTTAGTGAACAATTAGTTAGTTTTATAGATGTTTTATGTGCATGTGGATCTAGATCTAGGGTTTGATTTTTTTATTAATTTTGTTTTTGTAAATTTATGTTTGATGAAATTGGACTAGGGTTTGTATGAAAGATATTGGGTAAAGTATAATTGTTGCTAATTGTTGTCTTTGAAATTGTTTATTGTAATCAATAAATATGTATTTTAATTATTTATGAATAAATAGACTATTAATTAATTTTCCTCTACCATGGTGTGTTTGTATGTATTTTAATTATTTATGGATAAATAGGCCATTTTTATATATATCTGAATAAGTAGTCATTTAATGTTTGTTTTGTTGTTGTTGTAAAAGATGGAGTACAGGAACTCTTGGATGTATGGTTCGTTAAAGTTCAAGGCAGGTTTCTGTGAAGAGGTGGATAAATTTATTGAAGCCGCAAAGAAGCATGCAACGACATTGAAAGAGAATAAGGATACAATTATTTGCCCCTATAAAGATTGCAAGAACCGTATAGCATGAACAGATGTGACTATCATCAGATCACATTTGATTATGCGAGGATTTGTTGAGGACTACACAGTGTGGATTCATCATGGTGAAACGGTTATTGTTAACGACGAGGATGAGGAGGAATACGACGACGAAACCATAGAATCCCTGTCCCAATATTCAGCAGAGCTTAATGCACAAATGGATTTTGAGTTTGATAATGAACAAGGTGGTGATGCTGGTGGTTGGGATGGTAACGATGAAGGTGGTGCCAATAATGATGGTGGAGCACGAGTCGGGGATGAAGATAAGTTGGAGGACATGATTCGAACCCTTGGATCAGAGATTTTACTAAATAGCCCGAAAGGTCTAGAAAATTTGAAAAGGGTGGCAAAAGCATCGAAGGAGACTGTGTATGGTGTTGAAAAGGATTGTCCGACACATTGGACATTGCTACGTTTTGTGCTTGAGCTGCTCATCCTGAAGGCTAAGTACGGCTGGTCATACTGTAGTTTCAATGATCTATTGCATCTCCTATCATGGGTGTTGCCACAACCAAACTCAGTTCCCGTCAACACATACCAAGCGAAGAAGGTCATAAGTCCATTGACAATGGGGGTTGAAAAAATCCATGCATGCCCCAACCACTGTATAATTTTTTGTGGCGAAACGTTCAAGTCACTAGATAAATGTCCCCGGTGTGGGGCCAGCCGGTACAAGAACAATGACCTTTACGGTGGGGACGAACCCTCCACGGGGAAAAAGAGGAATAAGAATGGTACAAAAAAGGTGATACAAGAATCTCAGCCCCCAGAGGACACTCCATTAGGCAACGATGCAAAGCAGAGAAGAATTCCTGCCCTGCTAATGTGGTACCTGCTAGTGATCGACCGCTTGAGACATATCTTCATAAACCCTAAAGAAGCCGCACTCATGACATGGTGGGATGATGAGCGCAAGGTGGATGATGATAAGATTGCACACCCGGCTGATTGTAGTCAGTGGCAAAGGTTTGATAAGAAGCACAAAGAATTCAGCGATGACCCAAGGAATGTACGGTTTGGCTTGAGCACCGATGGAATGAATCCCTTCAATGAGAGGATGAGCGACTGTAGCACATGCCTAGGATCTTGACCATGTACAACATCCCAACATGGTTGTGTCAGAAGAGAAACTACCTTCTCCTCACTATTCTTATTTCTGTCCATAAACAACCAGGCATTGATATAGACGTGTTCCTCGAGCCCTTGATGCAAGAAATGGAGAGGCTATAGAGGCATGGGGAGCAGATGTACGATGCGTTCTGAAAGGAGGACTTCATATGTAGAGCAATAATATTTGTTACTACCAATGATTACACCGCGTTGTTTGCTTTGTCTAGATAGATCAAAGGGAAGACGGGATGCTTGGTTTGCTTGGATGGTACTATATGGGTGTACCTAGATGCATCCAAGAAGATAGTTTATCTAAGGAACCGACGCTTCTTAAAGACAAGTCACAAGTACCACAGCAAATTATTCTTTAGATTTTATGACAACGCCCCGGAGATTGAACCTCCTCCGGAGAGACGTCATACCATAGCAATTTGAATTATTCAAAATTAGTGACAAAGATAGATGACTAGTCTAAAATGATAGAGCATGATTTTATAAAATTTTAGAAAAAAAAACCATCACATTTGAAGTTAGTATGAGGGAGAAAAACTAGTTACAAGTTTCAGCCACAGATTAAAAAGAGAAATCACACTTGTTCATCATTGGTCATCATGAACAGTTGTGTTTTTTCTTTTTAATATGTGGGTAAAATTTGTAACTAGTTTTTCTCCCTC